AACCGCGCCCGGCTAATTTTTTGTATTTTTAGTAGAGACGGGGTTTCACCGTGGTCTCGATCTCCTGACCTTGTGATCCGCCCGCCTCGGCCTCCCAAAGTGCTGGGATTACAGGCGTGAGCCACCGCGCCCGGCCACAACATCTTAACATGGTAGTGTCTGTTCAGATACACAAATACTTAGCATTGTCACGACTACCTCCGTGTTTCAGTACACAGTAACATGCTGTGTACGTCTATAGCCTAGCAGCAATAGGCTATACCAGATAGTCCAGGTGTGTAGTAGGCTAGACTGTGTAGGTTTGTGTAAGTCACTCCATGATATTCACACAACGACCAAGTCACCTGATGAAGCATTTCTCAGTCTGTATCCCTGTCATTATTCGTTGCATGGCTATGTAGTCTAGGTTGTGAATTTTAAAGGATATTTATGTTTACTAAAAACAAGTTGTTGAAGTTCTGACATTTTGGTTTTTCTGCATATTTTAGAGTAGTTATATTTTTTAAAGGACTCCATTTTACCCCAGGGCTCTGGCCAGTTGAACTTTGTAACTGTTATTTCATACCTGGCTTCTTCCTACTTGAAAGAGTACAAATAGGAGTGAAGGCCGAGCAGGGATGACTCACTTACCAGTGCCATTTGTTCCCAGTCAGCTTGCTGTTTGGCTAAAAGGTAAAATACGTAATTTTTGCATAAGGAATTAGCTGTGGATATATCTTGGTTTTGAGTTTGTAGTATGTCCAGTACAAAGATGTATATTTCAAAGTGTTCTTATCTGAAAAATGCTATTCTAACTCTGAATAGTGGGGAGCAAAAGGAATTAGCTGAATGTGGTGGCTCACACCTGTAGTCCCAGCACTTTGAGAGGCTGAGGTGGTCGATTGCTTGAGGCTAGGAGATTGCTTGAGACCAGCCTGAGCAACATAGTGAGACCCTGTCTCTACAGAATTACAAAAAAAATTAGCCAGGTGTGGTGTTACAGGGCTATAGTCTCAGCTACCCTGGAGGCTGAGGTGGGAGGATCACCTGAGTCCGGGAGGCAGAGGTTGTAGTGAGCCAGGATAGTTGCTAAAGAACTCCTTTTCTTGTGTTTAAATCTCAAGTTTAAAATCAGTGTACTAAACCCACAAAGTCATGGCTGGGGAATTGGAGGACCTGATTCATGAGTTAGGCCACGCTGCAGGAGCACACAGGCTCTGCTACAGGAAGGTTGCTTCTGGCTCACTGGAACAGCATTGGCAGGAACTTAGAGCAGTAGGTGACTTTCTTCCATGTGGTGATTTGGGGACCAAGGCATGTTCCATGTTTTGGTTCTACCATCCCTCAGGGTCTTTTGGTCTTTCAGCATTCAGCCAGATACAGGTGAAGGACCATGGGAGGTTTGATGGCTCCTGGCACGATGGAGGAAACTCTGTCATGTGGCCACACCTATATGGTGAGTGCCCCAGGAAGGGGAGAATGGAGATGGGCGACTGTCAGCACCTCACTGGGCAGGGTGCAAGGGCTGTGGGGTAGGTGTTGGGTGGATTCAGGAGACTGCAGAAAGCAAAGTGGGTGTTAGTGGGACTTTTATTTCCTCTGGAACAAAGGACACTACACTTTTCTGTGAAAGACTAGTTAGTAAATATTTTAGACTTTGTGGGCCGCAGATGGCCTCTATCATATATTCTTTTTTTTTTTCTTAAAACAACCCTTAAAAAATGTCAAAATCATTCATAGCTGGCAGGCTGTGAGCTGGATTTGGTTTGCCAACACCTCTTCTTACTTCATCACAACTAATTATCTCTCTTCTTTATAAACCCAGTATTAATGAGTTTCCTTTATAGTAAGGTTGAGATTTTGGAAGTCAGTTTTTACTTGAGGCAAATAAGTTGTATCTTGATTCATAATTCAGAAGTGTCATTTTATCTAGTTTTTAGACATAGCTTGTCACCTGATTGGTGAATGTATACCCTGTTTATTATTAGCTAAAAATAAGTGCTTGATATCAGATTCACTTTTTTTCTGATTTATTTCTTAGTATTTTTCATACTTTGCCTTTAATACTAAGTATGGGGAATAGTAGTAAAAATATATTTTAAAAAAAGGTTTTGTGATTTTTAAGAACACAGAGGAGCATGAGCTGTATTACTCCACCGGAAGCATTGGTGGGTGGCGCTGGCGTTGTTATTCCGTGCCCTCAGACAGCGAACGGTGGCGCTGGCGTTGTTATTCCGTGCCCTCAGACAGTGAACCACTTCTCTTCCTCTGTGGGAATGGAAACCCAACTTTTTCCCTCTTCCATTGAAGTTATCTTTTGTCTTTTTTTCTACTTGTTAGTTGTATTAGTATAAAATGGCATAATAAAGTTATTTTGTTTACCATTTCCCACTCGTCTGAAAATCGCAAAAAGCATTTATTGCTAAGGTTTATATCCACTGACCTTTTCCCCAAAGTTCTTTTCCTGTTACTTGTATGTCGTCTTTGCCCTTATTTCTTTAATATTTGTGTTAGAAGTAGCTTGCTCTTATTTCCTTCACTGGCAGATGTGTTACATTGCCCACTGGGTGGCTTCTGTGGATGCCCCTACCCACCCCTCGTCTTGAGCAGAGAAGTCCTGTTAGCTTAGGACCATAGTGGCTGCTGTCAGTGTGAGGAGTTGTGCTTCTCTAGCATGGTCTGTGATGTCATTTGGACATAATTATTAGACTAATCCAATAGAGGAACGAGACAGCCCTGCCGCTGACTGTGGGCCACTGCTTTGTGTCATCCCACAGAGCTTTGTGCTGAACGTCAGTCCTCCACATCGACTCCTCTTGTAAGATGCTGTGTCCAGCCATCACAATGGCTGCCATCCTTAAATATGTCTTGGTCCTGTTGCTGCTAATTGATGTGAGCTTGTCGCCATGTGTCCTTTAAAGAATTTAAAGGTTTTTTTTTTTTTAAAAAACAAGGAAGACTTTTGTAACACCCTTCACTTTTTATAATATTCCTATTTAAAACTTGTTCTTTTAAGGAGCTTTTGAAAGCTTCATTAAAACTGTGCTTGGCTGGGCACGGTAACTCATGCCTGTAATCCCAGCACTTGGGGAGGCTGAGACAGGTGGATCACTTGAGGTTAGGAGTTTGAGACCAGCTTGGCCAACGTTATGAAACCCTGTCTCTACTAAAGATACAAAAAAAAAAAAAAAAAAATCAGCCGGGTGTGATGGCATGCTGTAATCCTAGCTACTTGGGAGGCTGAGGTAGGGATTACTTGAACCCGGGAGGCAGAGGTTGCAGTGAGCTGAGATCATGCCACTGTACTCCAGCCTGGGTGACAGAACAAGACCCTGTCTCACAAAAAAACTCTACCTATATTTTAAATAATATGCTCATATACTTAAGAATAAAATGTTCAGTGATCTCACTGCCTATCCTGTGAAGTGGATCTACTTTTTACAGAGCCTTGAGTAACCTGCCATGGTACAGAGTTTGTTTTCCTTCTTTTGTTCCTGGATTGATCAGTGTTTATACTAGCAGTGTCAGTGATTTTGCCCTCTATGATCTCTATTTAAAAAAATTTTTTCCTTTTTTTGAGGCAGATGTTCATAAAAGCATAAAATCAGGATATATTCCTGCCTGATCTCCTAATGTATGTGGGTTTTTTTTGTTGTGTTTTTTTGTTTTTGGTTTTTTTATGGAAATAGGGCCCTCACCCTGTTGCCCTGCTGGAGTATAGTAGCACAATCATGGTTTACTACAGCCTCAGCCTCCTTAGTAGCTGGTACTACAGGAGTGTGCCACAATGCCTGGCTAATTTTTTGAAATTTTTTTTTTCTTACAGACATGAGGTCTCACTATGTTGCATAGGCCGATCTTGAACTCCTAACCTCAAGTGATCCTCCCGCCTTGGTGCCTGCCAAAGTGCCGGGATTACAGGTGTGAGCCACTGTGCCTGGCCCAGATACATACTTCTAAAAATATGTGCTATGCATGGACTACCATCCTTTGCGGCCTCCTTCCTTTTACCTAGGCTTTTGTAAATAGCATGTGGATAGTCATGCTTTTTTGGAGATAATGATAATGGGACACCTCACTAAGTGGGTAGTGAAGCTCCAGCTTATACATAGGTTTCGTTTAGGGGTTACAGAGAGTCAGTATGTATTACCAAACTCCGGTTTAGGAATTCTGCAGTGAGCATATAGACAGACTTTGAATGGTCTACTGAGGTCTTTACTGTGATGCCATCATCCCGTCATGTATCTCAAAAGTGGCTTTTGAGATCATCCCATCATGAATGGCAGCCTTTAGATCATGTAGTGAGCCCTCTGTTTTATGTTTCCGTTTGTAACAAATAAGTACCTTTTTTAGCTCTATAATTTGAAGTAACAAACTCTGTTTTCCTTGTTGAGGAAGGATGGGCATGAAGCTGAGGAACGAATATGTATGTGGCGTAGTGATTGGGTTTCATTGTCATGTTTTGCTAGTAACCAGAGGAGAAGCAGTTTCTCTAACTCCTCGAGAATTAGTTTTCAGTTTTTAGTAGTATATTAAAAATGGCACAGATTTTACCAGTTTATTTCTTCAGGCTTTTGACTATGAAAGTACTGATTTGCAGTGATTATTTAGTTCTTAGTCTTCTGAAGCCTTCTAGATATTTAGGCCTCACTGCTTATCACTTGTTGCTGAAGATATTCTGTCCTTCACCGTTAAGAAAAGAGTGACTTTTCTCTTTTCCCAGCATCACTTCTTAACAAAGTATGGATGAATTACTTTTGCAGGTTAAAATCGTCCCAAGTGTTAGCTTTGAGCATTTTCAAGTCAAAATTTTTTATCAATTAAAATATTTTCTTTTTTGAGAAGGAAAAAATTCTGCCAGTTATGCTTTAAAAAGTATTTTATAGGTTCAGTGTGAAGCTTATTTAACTTATGTGAGCAAAGTTGGCATTTTAGACTATAAAACTGAACTGAAATATGAATTATGGAAAATTAATTTGTAAAGTTGAAATTTTATGAAATACTTTCTGCATTTTGTTTAGACCAGCATGTTTTGGAAATTTGATCTTCATTCATCATCCCACATAGACACACTTCTAGAAAGAGAAGATGTAACACTGAAGGAGTTAATGGATGAGGAAGATGTTTTACAGGAATGTAAAGCCCAGAACCGCAAACTTATAGAGTTTCTGTTAAAAGCAGAATGTCTCGAAGATTTAGTCTCATTCATTATAGAAGAACCACCTCAAGACATGGATGAAAAGATCAGATACAAGTAAGACAATTCAATCTTTTCTCTAGAGTGGGACTAAAGTGAATTGGGGGTAGAATATACAGCTCTTGTTCAAGGATTCTCCAGTGTGACTGTCGCCATTTACAGAAGGGTAAGATAGTCAAGAATGACAGGCTCAGTGGAGCACAGAATCCATTCTAGCAGTAAGTCCAGAGAATCACAAGAGTTTAAAATGAGTGTTCTGAATTTCATTCAAAGGTTTTCTGGAAAGGCAGCGTGCTTTGTAAACAATGATGACAAATGTCTCAAAAATAGTAAGATGATTAAAATATTTACTTTACAAATAGGAAGATGGACATTATGTGACTACGCAAAATCGCACAGCAAATCTAAGTCAGAACTTGGGGTTACTGAGAGCATTGCTTATACAATAAATTCTGACCTTTTATCAGCTGAAAATAAAGGAATGGGTATTAGTGAACATCAGTGTAGCTGGTCACACCATGGGTAACTACAGTGGATTTTGTCTGCTAGTTTAATCTGCTTACAAAGAGAACGACAGTACAGTGAGAATCCATTATTACCATCACTATAACACTTTTTATACAAACCCCTGGAAACTCCATAGGTATGTAAAGTATTGGGGCTTCAGTTAATTATTTCTCCATATCCAACTCTATTGAAATATTTGGCTCTTTTCCCTCCAGAAGATAGAGCAACTTCAGAAACAAAAATTGATGCATTACATAAACTTAATGGAATAGGAAGAATTAGGCTTTTAGTAGTGTCTCTCTTGCCATTTCTCCCTCAGTTTCCCTTTCTTTTCAGACATCTTTTCCTTTCTTCTTGGGGAGAAATGTGTTGTTGGGGAAATACTTGTTAACGCTTTCAAGTTGCTAGTGGCTTAGGTCTTCAAAGATGCCATGTTCTCTGCCAACCATTAACATTGACACCTAGCATTTAGTGAAAGCCTTCACTCAGAGATTAGTGTCTTAAAAAAGAGGAGGAAAGGCCGGACGCGGTGGTTCATGCCTGTAATCCCAGCACTGTGGGAGGCTGAGGCGGGTAGATCACATGAGGTCAGTAGTTTGAGACCAACCTGGCCAACATGGTGAAACCCTGAGTCTACTAAAACTACAAAAATTAGCTGGGCCTGTTGGCAGGCGCCTGTAATCCCAGCTACTCAGGAGACTGAGGCAGGAGAATCACTTGAACCCGGGAGGCCGTGGCAGACATGCTAGTGTGCTCTCATCCCCCAAACGATAGACACTTTGCTACTTGGAATTCCCTTCACAGTGAACTAGTGTATGGGTGGTGCTACTTGAATTGGGGCTCATCCGTGTAGGAGGGGTGTGATATGCATCAGAGAGCACAGGTTTTGGATCCGCCCCTTCAGAGGAGTATGACCCTCTTCTCTTCCAATCTCTGAGAGCTTGGGCAGGGAGCTTACCCTTCTTGGGTCTGTTTCCTCACATGCTGAGTGAGGCTAGTGATGTTTTAATCATTGAAGAGCAGGCATGCCTTCTATGAAGGGCTTACTTTCTCCAAAAGAAGTAGTGGCCCCTCCCACCCATTATAACTGTGTGGCACTTGTATTGTGTTGCTTTGCCAGTGTTTTTGCCTTTGAGGTGGCAAGAGCAAATGCGCCTCCTCTGGACACAGCCTTCTGCATGGTACCATTTTGAAGGAGCACCACTTGAGTTGGATAGGGCAGTACTCTGCCATGCTTCTGGCCTGAGCAGAGTCACCACCTGTGTGTAATGTACCTTGGATGATGCCACAGCTAGATGAGCATAGAGGGGTTTTTCAGCTGGGATCTGAAAGTGTTTTAGGGTTATGGTTGACTACAGTCATTTAAGGAAGTTTAGACTGGGATTGTGTAGTTTTGGGATGAAAGAGTAATTGCTGTATTGGGGTAAACCAGACTAAAAAGCCCACCAATAGTTTGTCAGGTAAGACCTCTGGAGAAAAATGGAGCATGACGAGACAGGGAATGCTAAAGGTGGTGGAGTGGGCAGAGGAGCTCAGGGAAGGCCTAATTAAGATGGTGCCATCTAGTCAGAGCCATGCAGGAATTAAGGGGGTTGCCAAGTGGGTACTTAAAACAAGGAACATCCAGGCAGAGGGAACAGCAAGTGTGGAAGCCCTAATGTGCTCGTGTGCGTGGTGTACCCCAAGAACATGTGGGCAGCCAGAGAAGCGGCAGCATTGTGAATGAGGGAAAATGGAAGGTGGGAGAGTTGGGGTGAAGTTGGAGCACCTCTAGAGACAGGCCATACAGGGCCTGGTAGGCTCAGCCAGGATGCTTGCTATACTTGGGACAAGATGGGAAGCCACCAGAGGGTTTTGAGCAAGTATGTGCCATAGTCTGACTTTGTTCCCGGGAGTGCTGTGCCTGCTCTGTGGTTAGGGACTGTAGGAGGACAGAAGTGGAAGTACAGTTGGCTGCAGTGATCAGCAGAGAATAATAAGATCTTAGTGGACGTGATTGGTGAGAAGCAGTCAGATTCCCGGAGGCACTAGATGAAGTTAGAACTCAAGGGGTTTCCTCTAGGTATGGAATGGGAGATAAAGTGTCAAGAGTGACTATGAGGATTTTGGCCTGGGCAGTTGAGAGGATGGAGTGGCTTTATGGCAGTGAAGAAAGATTGCAGAGGGAAAGGGCAGGAGTTTGGGTCTGGCCCTGTCACATTTGAAATGCCTGTTAGACGTGAGGCAGAGATGAGGCCTAGCAGCAGGTAGACGGAGGACATGTAAAGCCATGAGGCTGAATGAGATTGCCGGCGGAGCTGGAAGAAAGCTTCCGAAACTGGAAATGGGTAGTATGGGCTGGCCAGGGTTCCACTGAGGGATGGATGAGTGACTGGATGCAAGAGGAGAACCTGGGGGCTGCTACCCTGGAAACCAGGGGAAAGTCTGGCTTCAGGAAGGAGAGGGGGACAGTGGGTTAGGGGTACTGCTCATAAAAAACCACTCGGTTTGTAACGTGGAGATCATGGGCCCCATCAGTGCAGGTTCTTTAGAGGGGCCCGGGTGAAAGCCTGGAGACAAGCAGAGACAATTCTTTTTAAGTGATTTCCTGTAACAGGAGCAGAAAGGAAGTGGTAGGTCGAGGCAGATGTGGAGTCAGGGGCGGTGTGCGGTTTTGTTTTTTCCTAAATGGAAGTGATGACCTGTGAGAATGTTGCAGCACAGAGGAAGCACAGCCAGTGTGAGGGAGCAAGCCACTGAGCGATGCGTTGTGCTGGATGGGCGGGGGTGGGGGCATGTGGTCCAGAGCACACATGCAGGATGACCTCAGGAGCACGGGCTGCTCCCCTGGAGCAGGGAGGAAGCACCTAGGTGTAGGTCGGGATGTGGTAGGGCTGGGACCTCTTCTGATTGCCTCCTCTGTGTTCTCAGGCAAAGGAAGTGAGGTCAGAGCCTGTGGAGGAGGAGGGGCCTTGCTGAGGGTGGAGTGGAGGCATCTTCGGGTGCTTGGGAAGCTGCTGCCCCGCCCCCCCCCCCTTTTTTTTTTTTAAAGCCAGAGTCTTGCTCTGTCGCCCAGGCTGGAGTGCAGTGGCACAGTCATAGCTGGCTGCAACCTCCGCCTCTCAGGTTCAAGTGTTTCCTGTGCCTCAGCCTCCTGAATAGCTGAGACTACAGGCATGTACCACCATACCTGGTAAATGTTTGTGTTTTTAGTAGAGATGGGGTTTTGCCATATTGGCCAGGCTGGTCTTGAACTCCTGACCTCAGGTGATCCACCTGTCTTGGCCTCCCAAAGTACTGGGACTGTTGGTGTGAGCCACTGCGCTCGGCCTTGAGAAGCTTCTTGAATGTTAAGGAGGGAGGGAGGGAGAATAGCCCCAGCCTGTGTGGAGCCAGAACTCTGAGCTTTTTGTGTAATGGCTAACATTATGCATGCTTCTTGAGTTGGGTCATACCACCCAGTCACCTAGAAAAAGTGAACAAATTTTAAAGTTGCTCATCTGGACTTTGTCAGAGTTTGGAGAAAACACTCATGCATTTGATTCACAGCCAGGAGTCCGCTGCCTTTCACTGAGTCCTCTATTTGTCAGCAGTTTCCACATTAAGACAGTTGAGTGAGTGCAACTCCCCAACCCACCCTAGCAGCATTCTGCCATTTTATAGTGAAAATAAAGAGGAATGAAAACAGCTGTCATTTTTTAAGCACTTATTTACTTTATGCCAGGCCCTCTTCCCAGCCTTTTTTACTCCTCTCCTCCATAAGATAAGGACAATAGTCCTTAATCTTACTAACTTGGAAACTGAGGCCCAGAGAGGTTAAGTAACTTGCCCAAGGTTATACAGCATGTAAGTGGTAGAGGCTGGTTTTGAACTTAGCTAGTGTGACTCTAGTTGCTGCACCTATAACCACTGTATCAGCCCACTCCTGGGATAATGGGTACTTTACAGGGGTTTATATTCTGGCATGTTGAAGCCCATGTTATGTAAATTGAGAGAGACTTTACTTCCCAAAGACCCATACATCTGCCAGGTCTGTTTTTTTTCCTTTTCTGTTTTCTTTATACAAAGGCTTATTTCGGGACCTTCTCATACTCTTCTGTCTTTAGGCCTCACATCAGAGCCTGTCAAGTGCTGCAGCGTTCTGGTTCATCACCAGTGGTCTTTTGGTGCTAGGGTCTTGCTGCAGGCAGCACTTGCTTGCCTTGGATGCCCCAGGTGTGTCCTATATGTGTCTCTCCCGCCCCAGTCTTCCCTGGTTTCTTTTGTCGTACAGCCACGTTTGGCTATTTTGCCATCTCCCTGTCTTGCTCGGCCTTTGAGCTTGCCACTCCTGATGACTGGTTGGGGCACTGGGTCCTGGCTATTTAGCAGGGAGGAGTGTAAGAGCAGAGTAATCCTGGGTCAGCTAGAGTATCGTCTGGATAGGCTCAACGTCTCTGTTGTTACTAGTGAAAACAGACACGAGATTGTGGTAGAAGGAGTAAGTGGAGAAAATGGACCTGCTGCCTGTTTGCGGAGGGTCAGTGGTCTGGTCGTCAGAGGCAAGCATGCTTTAGGGGGTGCAGGCATTTCTAAAGCCGTGGGATCTGTAGAAGAGCCTGTGTGGTTCCATCCAGAGCAGGTGTCATGTTCTTAGCTGTGGGCCTGTATCCTACAGGAGAGAGAGCACGGTGAAGACTGACAGTGGACTGATTTTGTGTCTGTGCTAATCTCCAGATACTGGAAGGCTGATGTGGAGAGCACTAGTTTTGTTTTGTTTTGGTTTTGACACAAGGTCTCACTCTTGTCCAGGCTGGAGTGCAACAGTTATAGCACACTGTAGCCTCAAACTTGTGGGCTCAAGTGATCCTCTAATCTCAGCCTCCTAAATAGCTAGGACTACATTATTTTGGTATACTGCTTCCTGCCTTGGTAGCCTAGGCTGATGTCCTCTTCCCTGCTTCATTATAGTAGGATGCTTACTCTCTTAAGATGTAATATAGACTGAAAACAACTTCGTAGTACCATTTGCAACCCATCTAAAGATAAAGGCTGGTCCAGGTCCCTACAGAGTGTCTTAAGTCATTACCAGGTGCTGTGTGCAGTGCAATTTCCTGGAAACCAGTGTGCTCCACAGTTGTCCGCAAGCTATGCTGCTTCCCATGCCAGAGGAGGCTGTAGCCCGACGGCTCGCACCTCCAGCCGCTTTTCTCGCTGATCATGGAGAAGGCCCGGGCCCTGCAGCATGACCTCCCTGGGCTCCAGAGTACTAGGTGTGCTCTAGTTTTTTCAGGGAAAATGTATTCTTATTAAAGCTTGGTTTAAAAACAATTTTTTAGATAGTAGAAAATTTATTTTAGTCTGGAGGTTGGTTGAACAGAATGAATTGAAATGATTTCCTGATTCCCAGTAAATGATTTTATTGTTCTCACAAAATCTCGGGAAGCCTTTCTGATTTGTGTTTATCTTTATATAATTAAACTGTTAATAAAGATGATGATGTAAGTATCCTGTTCTTCTAGGTATCCAAATATATCTTGTGAGTTGCTCACTTCTGATGTCTCCCAGATGAATGATAGACTGGGAGAAGATGAATCCTTGCTAATGAAATTATATAGCTTCCTCCTAAACGATTCCCCTTTGAACCCACTACTTGCCAGTTTCTTCAGCAAGGTGCTAAGTATTCTTATCAGCAGAAAACCAGAACAGGTAAATATGATTTTCCGAAAGGTAAGTATTAGGCTGATCATCCCCTTGAGGTGATCCCCCAGTCGCTGTTGCTTTAGAGTTCTAAGAGAATGTATTTTAAGCCTTAAACATTCTAAGCACTCACATACTATTTATACATTGACGAATATTTCTAATATGGTATAATCTCAAATTTCACGTAATTTGTTAGCATACTTTGGTTTCCTCTTTTGACAAGTGGGTAGAAGATGAGAATATTGGGTACCCATTTGTGAAGACAGGGCTTAACTAAGATGGCAAGTGTAATAACTAAGCCATTGAATATGTCAACAAACGCTTTGTTTTGTTTTTCCCCTATTGATGATCACAGATGAAGCTTAAACCAAAAACCTTTCCCACAAATGTAATTGGTGATTGGTTTGTACTAATGGTGATTCTGTTTTGATTCTACTCAAAACTGCTCCAGTGTCAGGCTTGAGACATCTGAGTGTATAGACTGCTGTATACATTTGTAGCTCTGCTGTTCATATCCAGTGTGGTTTGACAAAAACTTCACTTGGTTCTTTAAGTGTGGTCCCTGAAGCAGCAGCACCTCAGTAGAGAATTTTGTTAGAAATGTAAGTTCTTTTTTTTTGGAGTCTTACTCTGTCGCCCAGGCTGGAGTGCAGTGGCCGGATCTCAGCTCACTGCAAGTTCCGCCTCCTGGGTTTACACCATTCTCCTACCTCAGCCTCCCGAGTAGCTGGGACTACAGGCGCCCGCCAACCCGCCCAGCTAGTTTTTTTGCATTTTTTAGTAGAGATGGGGTTTCACTGTGTTAGCCAGGATGGTCTCGATCTCCTGACCTTGTGATCCGCCCATCTCGGCCTCCCAAAGTACTGGGATTACAGGCTTGAGCCACCGCGCCCGGCCAGAAATGTAAGTTCTTGAGCCCTATTCCACACCTGCTGAATCAGAAACTCTGAGGGGTGGGCCCTACAATCTGGGTTTTAGCAAGCCTTCAGCTAACTCTGATGCATGCTGACATTTGAGAACCTCTGCTTTAGTGGATATTGTTGTGAAAAAGGATCTGCTTATCTGGAGATTTTAGTCATTTTATGGAAATAGGCACCCAGGGAACAACTAGAGCCTCAGATATTCAAGTATAAACTATAGCAGATTTGCCAGAATTGCAACAAGTATGGGTGTGATGATACGGGGTAAAAGTGGTCAAACCAGTTGGTCCTGCCATCCTTCATGATAGAAAATGGCTCTGGGTGACCCATTCTTGCTCTCAGCACTTGTGGAAGGACTGGAGCTATTTTGGGCCCAGTGTGTCCTGTCCTATGCCAAGGTAAAGTGGATACATGTTTTATTTTAGAAAGAGATACCATTCTTTCTTTCTTTCACTTAATGGAGTAGGATAAGCTTCCTAAGTTGATTGGAAATAAGATTCTTTTCACTTTGGTAGTAATCCCCAAATCATGATTACTCTAATGTAGATTGTCTGTTTTTTTCTGCCTTCTAGTTAGAAATACAAGAACTGCTGGCTGTTTTAGGAGAGTGGAAGCCAACCTATCACCCTGATATTACCAGGCAGTTCTCAGGGCTGGTTGTTACAGCCATTATCCAGACATTATGCTTCATTGTGCTTTTTCTCCTCACTTCTGTGCTGTTGGGACCCAAGTTTGCAAGCCCCGATTTTCAGTGTACACATAGAGAGAATACACTTAAAACTTTATGGGGCCTTGAGTATTTTGTATTAGACGTCAGAGTCCAACCCGACATTCTATCTGTGTAGAGATGATGGCACTTGCCAGTTACATTCTGAGACAAGAGCCCCTCGGCCTTTTGCTTGTTACACTTCCCTGTCACAACTATGAATGATAGCAAGAGGATTCAGTGGCTGTGGGTTAAGATCAAACCTGGCATTTCTCTATCCTTTGCAAGTAGGAGTGTAAATAAAGGTTTTCTGTTATGTGATAGTATTAGTAGGGATCTATGCAACTGTAAGGAAGGACAAAAATTGAGACTCAACTGGCTTAACCAGTAAAGGCATTTGTTAGCTCATGGAACAGAAAGTTGCGTAGTGGGGCATCTTCAGTGCTGCATGAGTCAGCACCCCAGTGGGGTCATCTGGGCCACAGGTCCCTGTTGTTAGTGCTGTACTGTCCACCACACTAGCTCGGGTTTGTTCCTTTGGGCTTCAGGTCTGCTGTTTCTGGCACTGAATTATGGAATACTTGGTCACATGTGACTTTTTTCATCCTTTCTCCTCTACTGTCCTTTTAAAAACTATTGTGGGACCCAATTGTGAGTGAATTATTTATGTGTCATGTCATTTCTTGAAGTTTTATATCATAATGCTTGACCTCATTGTCTAGAGAAGCAACGTGTGTTGGTTAATCCTGTATTTATACTTAATTGTATGAAGCAGTTTTAGTTGTCATCTCTGGCTATTAGACTTCATATGACCTAATGGAAAGATTGTGGCTTTTGTGGCATACAAATCCAAGTTTAAATCCCAGGCAGCCACCTTTTAGCTCTGGAAGATACTTTCTGAGCCTTGGTTTCCTCATCTCTAATGGGGTGTGGGGATGGGAGTGAGTTATTCAACCCCCCCATGTCCCAGGGCTTTTGAGAAATTTCAGTAAGATCCTGTTATAGCAGCTGCCACACTCCCCCTGGGACTCACAGAGGGTTTGGGAATAGATGACATGTGCACATGAACAGAGGCAGAGGCAACGAGGCTGCATGGGACACGGGGATGCGTGGGACAGAGTCATCTCCCTGATCTCCCAGTGCAGAAGAGGCCAGCAACAGGGGCCTGATTTCCGTGGCTATTCTCACGTTCCTTCAGGGTAGCTCTCTGCCTCTCCACCAGCTGCCCTTCTTGTGCTAAGCTGTTGGAGTGAATTGGTGAAGTCAAAATCCAAGGCGATGTTTGTGTAGCCAGGTGAGTTAGTTACTTTGACTGGAGTAGAAATGTTTGTTTTGAAATTTTTTTCTCATACTTGTTAGGGTCCAATTAGGATTTTGAATGTTACTCATTTTGGTGCAGAATCTTAACAGACTTGCTTTATGTTCATAAACTGTAAAATGGTATATTCTCTTGCTCTTTATAGGGATATTAAATTTTTGATCCCCATTCTTTGAGAATGAATAATGGAAGTGAATAGAAATAAAAGATTCTGTTAAGTTGTATTTGTATTAATGGACATGTGCTAATTTAGGGTTTTTTTTCCCAAGGGGTTTTTGAGTGTTGTAACTATCAGCCAGGCTTTCCAATTTGATATCTTGTTGGTAATTCAGGATTTGCCATTTCTCAACCTAAAGTAGTGATAAAATTGGGAGGAGTGGGGGTTGGGACTTAAAAGGTAAAGTTTATAGTTTCCAAGTTACATGTCTTTCAGTTTCTGATCTGTTTTTCTCTAGATTGTGGATTTCTTAAAGAAGAAGCATGATTTTGTAGACCTTATTATAAAGCACATAGGAACTTCTGCTATCATGGATTTGTTGCTCAGGCTCCTGACATGTATTGAACCTCCACAGCCCAGGCAAGATGTACTGAATGTGAGTAGAATTCTGACCTGCTGTTGACTGGGGTTAGGGTGCTGGCATGTGAGCCCACCAGGCTGCTGTGTGCTGGGAGGGATTGCATGGGATTAGGGTACTTGGTAGCAGAGAGTTGTCTGGGGAGCAGGTAACAGGGTGGGGGAGAAAGGTTGTTCCAAGATAGGAAGAGATCCAGATTTTGCAGAGCTAGAATTTCAGATGGGCATATCCGTAGGTGTGTGGAATGTTTTGTTGTGAGTGTTTTTTCCTTTTTGCTGGTTTGCTTTTTATGGGGGTGGCGAGACATTATGGGTTGAGCATTTGTCTTAAATCTGGGCCTGATGGTAAAAGCAGAAATGAGAGGGTTGGGAGCTCGAAGTCCCATATGAGTATGTTGTGAGGCCACACTCTTCAGGGCCACCTCTGAAGGTCAAAACGGAGAGGTGTTGATAACATCCAGTGATTCAGACTTCAGAAGTAATTCTCTTCTCATGGGTACCTAGGAACAAAGGATAAGGAGAGCAGAGTTTACTTTGAGAAGGACATATTTTAAAATGTAGACAAATGGTGATTTTTAGGATGTATGCCTCCTGAATAGATGTCTTAGGTGGAATTTGGGTGGGAAGGAGGGGAGGGTGTGAGTAACTTGAAAATAAGGTTTCTCCCAGGCTCCCATCTCTGCCTTCTCTTCTTGTCTTTTGTGTCTTCTCCTCTTCCTTTCTTTTTTGAGTTGGAGTCTCACTCTGTCACCCAGGCTGGAGTGCAGTGGCATGATCTCGGCTCACTGCAACCTCCGCCTCCCAGGTTCAAGCAGTTCTCCTGTTTCAGTCTCCTGAGTAGCTGGGATTACAGATGTCTGCCACCACACCTGGCTAATTTTTGTATTTTTAGTAGAGACAGGGTTTCACCATGTTGGCCAGGCTGGTCTCCAACTCCTGACCTCAGGTGATCCGCCCTCCTCGGCCTCCCAAAGTGCTGGGATTACAGGTGTGAGCCACCGCGCCTGGTCCCTCTCCCTTTCTTTCCTTTCTCGGAAGCTTTGTGAACCATGCTTCAGTCTATCTGTCTTTAATACTAACCTGCAACCTTAGAACTTACTCATTTCTTTGGAAATGAGTTTTGTTGAAAATGCTAGTTATTATTTAAGATCTCAAGGACTAGAAGGAGGGCCTATGAGGAGGAAGGTCTTTCAGGTGGTGCCCAGGGCAGGGCATGTTCCACTGAGGTAGGGAGGTGTGCCAGGTGTGCATTTATGTGATGGGGTCAGGGCTGGGTTTGTTGGTGACCCAGGCACTGTGATCACTGTGAGTAAACAGCTGGGTGTATCTAGTGGATGTCCTGGGACTTGTCTCTTGGCAGGGACCTTAAATTGGGACACCTGTCCTTTTGGGTGTGTCTTTGTAGATGTATCTTTTCTCAAAAGAGGTTGAGGATTCTGGGAAAGACTTAAGGATAGGGAGGAGGGTGTCACCTTTATATTGGGATTATCATAGGGAGAGATTTATTCAGGATGGTTTGTAGGAACCAGTTTATTCCTTTGGTTGCTTCTGGGTTGAAGTTTAGGACCTGTCTGGTTTCCAAAGGAATCAGTGTGTTTGTGGAGAGAGCGAGTGACAGGAGGTTGATAAAGGTGTAGGTCGGGGAAAGGTTACTTAGAAACCCCTGAATGTCTTATTTTGATTTTGTGGATCCATGGTTGAGGAAGACTACAGAAGTGGGCTTGGAATGTAGGTTCCTATGAATAGCTGTGGAAACAGTAGGGTTCTGGGACTGATGAGTTCACTGCCTGGAAGGTTTCCTGGTTTCTCCTGTAGTGGTCAGGAATGCCCCGCACCTCACACAGATGTTTACTCTCCTCTGTTTCAGGACGTTATTGCTCAAAGAGTGGTCCCAGACATCATTTGTGAGCTTGTTAGAAATCTGTAGTCTCAGGTCTCTTCCTTGGCCTTCTGAATCAGAATATGCATTTTAACAAGATTCTTGGAGAATTTGTGTGCACATTTTAAAACAGATCTTAAAATATAAAGTTGGACCTCTACCTCTGTGGTGCCTGCCTAATAGCTTCCCATTTTCCTTTAATTGGTGTTTTCATTGAGCAGCCAGAGACAGTGTCAGGGTTTCTTCTGTGTTCCTTAAGCAAATTGTGTTTGATTTCTGCCCCTGCTGCCCGCCCTAGTCTCCTTTAGCCGTATTTTCTAGGTAGTGAGCTGCCTTGTTGATGATGGTTTTCGGCTTCTTATGGCATTAATGTTAAGCCAGATGATTTTTCCTTTATTTTTTTCTGAATTTGGATCCCTTTCATGTTTTCATTCACTGTAGCATTTCATACATGGATTAAAAGGAGATGGCCATAGCTCTTTGCCAGCACATGACAGGGCGGATAAACTCTGCCTCTGTGCTTCCTCAGGCCCCCACGTTTCCTGCAGTGGGTTTGGTTTTGTAATCTAAAAGTCCCTTTTGTTCATCCTGTGTTTTTCTTAACCCAGAGACTTGGTGCTAAATACTGCTCTTCTCAATCTTTCTGAAGCTTGGAGTGAACATGCTCTTAAAGAAAATGTATAAATTCCATCCTTCTTAATCTCCCAGTCCTCTCTTAAGAACCATCCTACAAACCCTTTTAGTCCTAAATGTCTGGGAGTGACCTTATGGCTAAGAAGCTGATGTATAGAATTTTAGTGTGTGGGTATTGTAATTTGGGGAGTTTTTGGTACTGTTGGCCATTGTTAAAACAATATATTCACTGGCATTTTCCTTGGGGGACTTTTAATTTTCTGTAGTGTTCAAAGTCCAGAGAAACCTGTAACATTCTGCTTAAAATGTGATGGATATTTCCAAGTATGTTAATCTACATTGGGGCTTGAACAAGAGCCACTCATTGCTATGATTACTTCTACAATGTGTTTTACAGTGGTTAAATGAGGAGAAAATTATCCAGAGGCTTGTGGAAATAGTTCATCCATCGCAAGAAGAAGATGTAAGTTCACTTGTGTGACTGTAAACTTGATCAAATAGAAAAAAAAAGAACTGTTTATTGAGCACAGAGCATACTTACATTAAATGTGAACATGATCAGAGAGTAGAGGGAAAATAGCAATCTATTGTTCTTAAAGTTGATACTTTTCTAAACTGTATTACATTTTGCCAATACCCAGAAAATTTCCAGAAATGTACAACAGCAGGCCCTTGTTACAGCACCATCTCCTTTCTAGAGCCGGGATTTCATGCCGAACCAGCTGGCTTTTGTTACAAACCTCCTTTGTTCATGCTCCTTTTTACTTTTTTTTTTTCCCACTTTGAGATGGAGTCTCACTCTGTCACCCAGGCTGGAATGTGGTGGCGCGATCTCGGCTCACTGCAACCTGCACCTCCCAGGTTCAAGCAGTTCTCTGCCTCAGCTTCCCGAGTAGCTGGGATTACAAGTGCCTGCCACCACGCCCGGCTAATTTTTGTATTTTTCGTAGAGACCGGGGTTTCATCATCTTGTCCAGGCTGGTCTTGAACTCCTGACCTTGTGATCCACCAGCCTCGGCCTCCCAAAGTGCTGGGATTACAGCCATGAGCCACCGCACCCGGCCTCCTTTTTATTTTTATACCCATCTGTAGCAGTTGATGTGACCACATTTGCATTTGTTTTATCCAGTCTGGTTACAGCTTTGCAGGCAGTGAAGTGGGATGTTGGTCACCATTGAACCCCTACAGTAACTTTGTTGTTATACGTCCTGGCCCTGGCTGTTAAGTTTGACAGGTTTGGCTTTTGTCCTAGGTACTGTAGGTTGACTTGGCTATAGGATTGAAGCTAGATTTGGAGCTTGCAGATTGAACTCTGTGCTGAGGGAATGCCCGTTGGGACCAGTGGGTGCATAGTGTCTCTAGAAGAGATCTGTAAGGTTACCACCTGAAGTATCAGGCCAAGCCATATAAAATTGGCAGTAATCATCCATTTTTACCTACAGACATGACAGTTATCTATGATTCAACCTAATATCTACAAAGGAGTTGGTTTAAGGACAATTAAAGGTTTGTCCTGAAGCTGGGGGAGCCTCCTTGTGTGCCTCTAGGTTGCAGGTTAGATGGGGGAGCGAGTACCGCAGAGGAACATTGGAGGAAGAGGCACGCAGTGGAGGCTCCTCTCTCACAAAGATACATTTTGTGTGATAGTAGATCGAAACCCTTTCACTCTGATCCATTCAGAAACTTTTGATACCTGGACTTTATTAAAGGGGCTGTCACTTCCCCATTATCCCTCTTTGGGAGAATGCAAGGTATGCTCCCTTGCAGTAGTTGTTACTGTTAGCAGAGTTGACATTTGTGGACACATCCAGTGTAGACATGGATTGGGAATATGGGAGCCCCTGCTTAGAAGGTGCTCTCAACCTAGCTGGGGTGATAAGCCCTCCTCCTGTGGGCAGGGGAGTGTGGTTCTAGGAGCGGGTTTCCCTGTGATGACATGTGGCCTGTGCAGGCCGTGGAGAGCCATGACAGGAGTGTGGCCTGCCCTGTTGGCAGGGAGGAGTTTCTTACTCCTTACTAGGTTCATGTTCTTGAGCAGAGGAACTTGATTGCTCAATGGGCTAAGAAGAAGATTGCTCAGTAGGGCCTGTCCAAAGGGCCCAGGAGAAATTGATAATGGAGAAGTCCAATTCTGCAACAAATTTTTTGAGAAGGACACCGCATTGTGGACATCAGCACCTTCTCTGCATGACTTACAAGAAAGTTAATTTTGGCTTTTGGACAGTCCTGTTAATACTTCTGTTTTGTATTAAGTGATGAATTCCATGTTAAAATTATACTGGCCAGTTGATACTTACCAAGGAAATGCTAGGCTCCTGATTCCAGTCAGTGGGTTTGGATACCCTAATCTGTGCTCTCCTCTCTTCTAGAATATGAGTGTTCTGCCCGTATTGGGAGCACATTGCTCAGTCTTTGAGTTACGCTCAGTTTCTTATTCCAGAGAATAAAATGTGTTTGGGTGCTGAGATTTTAGAGCTTTTCTGTAAGGTCAATACACTGAGAGAAGGCTTAATATTTCTTACCCATTGGTATTCTACAGAAAGCTGTATTTGCTTTTACTTTGTTTTTTGAGACGGAGTTTCACTCTTGTTGCCCAGGCTGGAGTGCAATGGCGGCATCTCGGCTCACCGCCATCTCTGCCTCCCGGGTTCAAGTGATTCAATCTCCTGCCTCAACCTCCCGAGTAGCTGGGATTACAGGTATGCGCCACCATGCCCAGCTAATTTTGTATTTTTAGTAGAGACGGGCTTTCTCCATGTTGGTCAGGCTGGTCTTGAACTCCTGACCTCAGATGATCTGCCTACCTCAGCCTCCCAAAGTGCTGGGATTACAGGCGTGAGCCATCGTGCCCAGATGTACTTTTACTTTTTTTTTTAATCCAAAAAAAGTATGTGCATCCTTCTATGCTGATAAGAGTGTATTTTGGGGATACACGTTGAGTATCCCTTATCTGAAATGCTTGGAACTGGAGGTATTTTGGATTTCAGTTTTTTTTCAGATTTTGGAATACCTTTATTTGCATTATACTGGTTGGACATCCTGGACCTAGAAATCTGAAATGTTCCAATGAGTATTTCCTTTGTCAGTTTTCAAATTTTGGAGCATTTTGGATTTGGGATGCTCAATCTGTGTATTTTTTCCCAACTATTTTAGAAATTTTTACTCATCAGAACCTTGATGACATCTCCCTGCACATAGTAATAATGTACTGTGCACTATTATAAAGCTCATTTGAATGCCTGACAAAATACATTACTTGTGATGTGATCTCTCTTGGCCTTGACCTTTTGCTCACTGAAGCTTATGGCCAGTGTTAATCTGTGTTATTTCTTAAATAACTTTCCCTTTCATTTTTAAATGATAAATTTAACTTCTAACATGTTTTATGGTTAAAATTGTACTTTTTTCCTTTAGCGACATTCAAATGCATCACAATCACTTTGTGAAATTGTTCGCCTGAGCAGAGACCAGATGTTACAAATTCAGAACAGTACAGAGCCCGACCCCCTGCTTGCCACTCTAGAAAAGTATGTGTAAAACTCTGTTCTTGTTCTTCTTTCATATTGATGCTGTTCCATGTGTTACCATTGTGAGTGATTGGTAAGTGTTCCTTATGTGGGAATCATGTCCCTTGAAAATAACCTTGGGTGGGTGAGAAGGTAGGGAATTCTGCTTCTTTTATCTCAGTAGAAGTTTGGCAGGATAAGAAGATAAATGACATTTGTATCTAGACTTTGAGTTTTCTAATTATTTGTAAAATGGAATTCTGTAGAGCGATCCTAAGATGTGGTAGTCATTTAGAAATAACTGTCATCACAACTTCCAAGGGTCTTTTGATGAAGAATAGTCTTGTGTAAGTACGAATGTTGCATGTTTTAGTCAGCGGCTTTTATCAGATGATCTTTAAGGCTTTATTGTATCTTTGCAGCTGATTAGGGACAGTTATTTCATGTTTAGGTAGAAGACAGCTTGGGGATGGGATGCTATTTTTTCTAGATTCACATGTTTTCAGAAAGAATGTTTACTGTCGACTTCGCATGTATTTGACCTGCATTCAGACAGCTGAAAGTTATTTTAATAATCAGGCCATTCCTCACTATGGAAGAATAATTGGAAAGTATGCATACAGCTAGCAATGTTAAGTACTAATGGCAATCTTGCTTCAGTTTACTTCTATTATTGTTTTTAATGCTTTTGTCAGTCCTTTTTATTCCTGCTATATATTGAAACTTTTGCATCTTTGGCTTAACTACCTATAATGCCCTTTTATTAAAATAAAATGTTGTATTATTTCCTTGACACATGTAAGACAGGCAAGGAATACATTACAGACAAGTTAACGTGTCTTCAACTCTGTCTTTGCGAAGTGGAGTTGTGTTTTCCTAGCATGTAGAATACGAAGGAGTTGAGTTCTCTGAAGTAGCAAAACTACAAAAGATTGCCGGCTTCTGAGTAAAATGGTATCTTACCTGTCCTATTTTAGTAATTCTTGCACTGTGGCATATATAGTCCTTTAAAACTTTTAAGACATCCCACATTCAAATACAAATTGTGGTATTAATTAGATTGAACCTTGTAAAATTGCCATTTCAGTAGGTTAGAAATGTTGAATATCAGCAGTGTCATATGGCTCACTGCAGTGCTGCCCAGTAGAAATAGAATCAAAGCCACATGTAATTTAAAATGTTTTTGTCCAAAGTCTTGGAAATCCAGTGTGTATTTTATACTTAGAACATGCTGGTCAGACGAGTTAAATTTTGGGTGCTTGATAGCCACATGTAGTGAATGACTCCCATAGTAGACAGTGCAGGTTCTGCCCGAATATCAGACTGCTTAGTAGTGATTGCTAAGTTCTTCAGTGCCGCTCCAAGCCCTCCGTCCACACAACTTTATTTGGACCCAATATGTAACCTAGCCACCAGAGCCCATGGGCACACTAGCTTTTATATTTCAAGCTGTGTTTTAGTCCTAGATCAGGTAACTAATTTCTGGGATGAAGATAGGTAAATACCTAGAGTTTACATCATTAAATTAGTTGGAGTAACTGTGTTCAAATACATGGACCTGATGAATCAGTGGCCCTGTTGCCAAGTGAAACCTCCATTGCATTTAACGGTGGCAAGAAAATCTGTCATAGTGCTTCCCACAGTCTGTTTGAGAATGAGAACCCACCGCTTCTAATATTTGACACACTGCACATCTTTTAGTGTCTGTTGATTCAGACAATACACACTGAGAAAAGATTTCTATTTTAGTAAACTTATTAATCATAATAGCATCTGTGTATATTTAATCTATTATGTGATAATATGTAATATCTTTTTGATAAATTATAATTATTTAACAATGATATTACATTATTAAATCACTGTACTGGCAATACATAATGTACACATAGCTTGCTGAGCTCTGTATTATGATGCTAAGTAACCCACAGTGTGAACACCACTGTATATAGGAATGTCACATGTGTAAATGTTAAGCGCAGATTAGCACATCTGGAAAAATTTGAAATGAGGTAAGATTAAAGAAGATACTAAAGAGTGGTAGTGGTACCAAGAAATCTCAGAAAGCGGACTGAAGTGTTAAATAAACAATGTTTGGCTTGGGAAGCAATCTGGGCCTAAATTGAATGCATTTTATTTAGTGACTCTGGAAATTTTTGAAGTTCAAAAATTTTTAAAAAACAGTTTTATTAGAATAGACTCTGTCTGAATTCTTGATACTAATGACCTTAGAACAAGTTGGGTTTGACCCCATTCATTTGAGCCAATTGGTTTTTTATAAGTGATTTTTCCTGTGGCCATTCACATAAAAAAAAAAAAAAATGAGCCATTGTCCCAAAGGCATGGATAAAGAACCTGGATGGCTTCATGCAGGAAACAGCTCATATCATAAGTTTTAGTGATGTCTATCCAGAAACTGCTTTTTTTTAAAACGTGGAAGTGAATATATTTTCTCGCATGTAATTAAATACCTTTTTATTGAAAGAATGTGAAGGCATTCCTTTTATTTTGTTTGATAAGCTTCAGTCCTTCGGTTTACTATTTCTTCGGGGTTTGGTGATATTTGTGTGTTCGGGTAAAACTCAGAATGTGGCGCAGCTATTGTGGTATTGTATTTTGACTGTCAAGTTTTCGCTGGTTATTATGTTTTTCTTGTCCATTAGTAGAATTCTTTCATGGATACAATAGACTTCCAATTTGATACGACAGTGAAATGGCTAGGGCCCCTGTTAGCTATTCCCTTCAGGCATCTGTATTGACAAAAGTGACAGTGCCTGCTGATGAGTAAGAGTGCTATGACTGAATGAAGAGAGTGTGGACTTCCACAATCGCATGCTGTCAGTACCCCTCCACCTGTGGTGAGGCTGCTGTTGAAGAAAAACATATTTATTGTTAAAGTTTGTTTTCCAGAGCTCAGTTCCATACCGAACAGTTAGTGTATAGGCTGCTGTGTGTGATGTGACTTTTATAGTACTGTTCTGGTGAGAGGTCTCACAAGCAATTTAATGCTGGTTTGGGAGTACTTGAAAAACCTCCTCCTGCAAGGGGACCCTCTCAAGTTAGGTTAGATACTAGTTTTGTTTCCCCAAAATAGAGATTCTCTCCTACTTGCTGCCCTATGTCGGCAAGAGGCGGTCAAGGAACTGGTGTACAGTACACTGAACACAACTATACCTTGGGATAAGGTGTCAGGTGAGCAACCAAGGACAACCCAGCTGCCTGTCACACTGTAAGGGAGATTCGAGACTCCTTTTCTTTTTCTTTTTTTGCAATGGAGTCTGGCTTTGTCACCCAGGCTAGAGTGCAGTGGTGTGATCTCGGCTCACCGCAAACTCTGCCTCCTGGGTTCAAGCGATTCTCCTGCCTCAGCCTCCTGAGTAGCTGGGATGACAGGCGTGCACCACCACACCCGGCTGATTTTTGTATTTTTAGTAGAAAAAGGGTTTCACCATGTTGGTCAGGGTGGTCTTGAACTCCTGACCTTGTGATCCGCCTGCCTCGGCCTCCCAAAGTGCTGGGATTACAGGCGTGCGCCACTGCACCTGGCCTCCATTTTTTTTTTTTTTTGAGACGGAGTCTCGCTCTGTCGCCCAGGCTGAAGTGCAGTGGCCGGATCTCAGCTCACTGCAAGCTCCGCCTCCCGGGTTCACGCCATTCTCCTGCCTCAGCCTCCTGAGTAGCTGGGACTACAGGCGCCCGCCACCGTGCCCGGCAAGTTTTTTTTTTTTGTATTTTTAGTAGAGACGGGGTTTCACCGTGTTAGCCAGGATGGTCTCGATCTCCTGACCTCGTGATCCACCCGTCTCGGCCTCCCAAAGTGCTGGGATTACAGGCTTGAGCCACCGCGCCCGGCCCCATTTCTTAATTCACGTGAATTTTGAAAATTACTGAGCGGCTAACAGACTAAGGTTTTCCTTGAGAATATAAATTCAGTGAACTGGTTTATGTTAATTGTGATCTTATGATGTGTATGAGAGAAGTGTAATGGAAAGAGCCTGCAGATAATGCTTTTTGGACATTTAATTTAGTCACATTTATTTCGTTGCTGCCATTTTATTTTGCTTTTTCAAATTTTATTTGTAGAGTAAAATGCAGCAACTGATGTTTTCTTTTTTCTGTTTCAGATCTTTGCTAATTACACATTCATGCCTTTGTGGGAAAACGTTCATGGGTTCTAATAGCCTTTCTGAATGTTTTCCCTTCTTTAGTGAGGGTGAAAGTTTCTATGTCTTCTTGCCACCCCCAGCCCCAGTCATCATCATCATCATCATCATCATCATTCATCATCAGAGTCTTGGTTTGAGTAGGAGGTGACTTTGTCTTGAAATTCTGTTGGCTCTCAACAAAATTGGCAAAGACAAGCATGGCCCAGGTTATTTTGCTGAGGGAAAGAGATAGGAGGGTGAGTGAGTGTGTTTGTGTGCGCGTGCATATGTGTAAATTATAAATAGGATCAATTGCCTACTTTAATAAGTATATAGAAATAAAATAGTAAAACAAATATGCCCAAGTGTGATTGAACTCTTCAGTGACGCTTGTCTTGTGCCGTCGTCTTTTTTTCTGAAGTTGTTGGTGATAAGTGATACTGCAGTTAGTGATTATTGATTTGTTTCCCTAGGCAAGAAATTATAGAGCAGCTTCTATCAAATATTTTCCACAAGGAGAAAAATGAATCAGCCATAGTCAGTGCAATCCAGATATTGCTGACTTTGCTTGAGACACGGCGACCAACGTAAGCTTTTCTTATGTCTTACAAAATGAACCATATTGTTTTGCTTTCAGATTTTTTTAAAGTTAAGAGTTCAATTCTTGGTGGATAAGCTGTCATAGAGTACCTTTGAATTGCAGTTGCTGATTCTCCTTCTACTATATGAACCATAGCCAAGTTTTATATGAATACCACATATAGGGATGCAGTTGAAAACTGTGGTTTGGTGACACTATTTATTGGCAGTATTTAGACTAGTCATTTTTTTTTTTTTTGTAGTAGTAGTTAGGAAAATGCTACTATAATAAATGCTATAATCGAAAATGTATGATGGCTCAGAAATAGAGAAGCTTATTTCTTGCTCATGATAATTGAAAATAGGTGTCCCTGGCCAGTGGGTAGCTCTCCTGGTCATTGAGAAAGTCTTTCTATCTTGTGATTCCTTTCATTCCTTTTTACAGATACTTAGGCCTTCAGGTGGTGTTTTCCTGGGTTTCACATTTGAGGGCACTGCAGTTGAGGCTGTCTTAAAATGCATGGGCAAGTGGCTTGAGCCTTTAAGGACGAATTTCTGCTACGTGTTTTATAATCAGAAATAAAGCCTACTTTTCCCACGTGTGGCCTTCCGCCCCTAGACCAGCCATTTAATGTGTGTCGTGTTATTCTTTATAGTTTATGTCCAGTGCAGATTTACTTATTATCAGAGTTTTCTAACTGCTCTTAGAGCATGAGAATCGTAAGTTTTCCAGGATTGTGTGATATAGAGATTGGAATTTGTATTTTTTACCCCAGTATTCATTCATTAAACAAGGGACAGAGTCCATCCTTAGCATATGAAACTTCAGCCATTCACGGTTTCTGTATTTACTTTTGATGGTGTAATTTAGGTTTCTAGCAAAATAGTGAAGACAACCTTACCAACCAATCCCTGCTTCCCCAATTCCTGATCTCTGTTGCTGCTTTGCCTAATCTTTGGTCAATACTAATGGAAGGGCAGTGTGGTGGCACTGCTTCAAGTATGTTGTAGTTTGGGGGTTGTTTGCCTACCTGTGTCTTTCTAGGAAAATCAGTGCCCTCTTCCTGCCCCAGCGGTACAGTGCCCTCTTCCTGCCCCAGCGGTACAGTGCCCTCTTCCTGCCCCAGCGGTACAGTGCCCTCTTCCTGCCCCAGCGGTACAGTGCCCTCTTCCTGCCCCAGCGGTACAGTGCCCTCTTCCTGCCCCAGTGGTACAGTGCCCTCTTCCACCCCAGCGGTACAGTGCTCTCTTCCACCCCAGCGGTACAGTGCTCTCTTCCTACCCCAGGGGTTCAGTGCCCTCTTCCTACCCCAGCGGTACAGTGCCCTCTTCCTGCCCCAGCGGTACAGTGCCCTCTTCCTACCCCAGCGGTACAGTACTGTCTTCCTACCCCAGGGGTACAGTGCCCTCTTCCTGCCCCAGCGGTACAGTGCCCTCTTCCTGCCCCAGCGGTACAGTGCCCTCTTCCTGCCCCAGCGGTACAGTGCCCTCTTCCACCCCAGCGGTACAGTGCTCTCTTCCACCCCAGCGGTACAGTGCTCTCTTCCTACCCCAGGGGTTCAGTGCCCTCTTCCTACCCCAGGGGTATAGTACTCTCTTGCTACTCAGGCTACAGGGCCATCACATCATCTCTTAAAAGTGGTTTAAAAACACATTTGGTGGTCCTGTGAGGTTCATACTACTTGAGAAATAAATGAGGGAAAAACAGCATAAATTTTTGTGTGTGGAAGTGAAAAACACATAAATGTACAACTTAAAGAGCAAACAAAGTTAACAGTAATATAAGAAACAATAAAGGGAAATTTCTGACCAGAAGGAACTTATCCTAAAACCAGAAAAGGTTTACCAAATACCACGCAACGCAAGATTGAAGTTTTAAAATAGGACTCAGGGCCAGGCGTGGTGGCTCACACCTATAATCCGGGCATTTTGGGAGGCTAAGGCGGGCAGATCACTTAAGGCCAGGAGTTCGAGACCAGCCTGGCCAATATGGTGAAACCCTGTCTCTATTAAAAATACAAAAATTAGCTGGGCATGGTGGCGTGTGCCTGTAATTCCAGCTGCTCGGGAGGCTGAGGCAGGAAAATCACTTGAACCTGGAAAGCGGAGGTTGCAGTGAGCCGAGATCATGCTATTGCACTCCAGCCTGGGCAACAGAGTGAGACTCTTGTCACATATAAAATAAATAAAATAGGACTCAGATCTTAGCTTTATACTGATAAGATTTCTGAATTCCGAGGATAAAGAATAAATCTTAGAAGTATCTGTATAAGAAAAAATGGGCTACCTGTGAAGCCAGTCAGATTGCCAGATGTCTCCTTTATGAAGCTAAATAAATACTGAACAACATAGTGCAGGATTCTGAGGCTGAAACATTTCTGTTGATATGTGAGGGCAAACACTCAGTGTTTCATCTGTGTACTGTTGATGAGATGAAATTACTTGAAGATAGACTTTATTAAAGCCAACCAGAAAAATAAGAATGAAGAACTAAGGGAACATATTGGTAAATTATGATCAAGAAATGGGTAGGGATGTGACAATATTATTATGAAGTTTAAATGTTAAGAATAAATAATCGAAATAAGTCAAATATTGAAAAATGGAAGGAGTTCCAGATTATTTTAACAAAACTCAAGAAATAAGGAGAAAAGTGTCAATTAGTACATATTGGAGTTCTTATACTGGGGCAGTTGAGGTACATTCTCATACATGGTATCTTCATCTCAGTAAAATTATAGTTCAGGTGTGGTTTTAAATAAATGTAGTAGAATAACAATAGGTCATGTAACTTCCAAAGCATCTTAAAGGTCAAAGAGTAAGGAAACTCTGACAGTCCCAGACACAAGGGACCCTGGCAGTCCAAGACACACACTTGCAAGCCCTTCCGGACAAGAAATACTAACAGCAGGGCAGAGACCAGAGAAAGCTTTCATTGTAGTTTAGGCCTGAGGAATGGAGGAGCAGCCCTTGGGAGAAATACACACTACGCCTCCAGGATCCTTCTCTATTCTTGCCCCTACTGAACAAAACTCTTAAGCCACTGAGAACAGGTTAGCAATAAAAGCCCTCTGTCCCCTGGTAGAAGTGGGAATACATCCTGGATCCAGACCATTAGAGAATCCCCTACCACGAGGGTAAGGGCAGGATCACTGAGAAGGCCTCAACCCTAGACCTGGGTACACTTCAACTGCCTAAGACTGAGGTTGAACAAAGCAGAGCATTCCTGCATCCTTTCCTTCTCCACCAGGCCTCTCGTGATCCAGTAACAACACTGCTGTGGAGGAAAGGCTAGCATCGGGGAGGAGCCTCCTGTAAGTCACAGGAGCAAGTTTAAAGAGAGGACCTCAGCTGATGGGCAGAGCAGACAGTGAGAGACACCTGGCAAACTGGCCTTAGCCATAAACACCAAGTAACTTGAGACAGACTTGAAGTTCTTAGTGCACCTTGAGAAATCATAGTAACAACAAAGCCCAAATCTAGCTCTGCAGATGACTAGATTGATTCAAATCCCCACACTTAAGACCTAGAAAAGAGACATGTTCATTCTTATATAAATGCTATTTACATCAGTTTTTATGTAAGATGTCCGTCTATCAACCAAAAATTACAAGAAACAAGATAAAAACGCCAACAAACTGTCAAGGGAAAAAGCAATCAGTAGAACTAGATTCAAAAATGTTGGAACTGTCAGATAATTTAAATGTAAATATGATTATGTTAAAGACTTGTGGGAAAAGTGGAAAATATATGAATAGATGAAGAATATTAGCAGAGAGATGTAAGAGCCTATGGAAATGCTAGAAATGAAAAACAGCAGAAATGAAGAATGCCTTTGGGCTTAGTTGACATAGTTGAGAAGAGAATCATCATAGGACCTTAGAAAGTATCCATACTGAAGTATGAAGAGTTAAACAAAAAAGATACTTGTGAGCCGAGAAGTCCCAGCAATAATGACGTGCCTCCAGGAGCAAATGCAAGTGCCCAGAATCTTGGTTTCTATTACTGTTCTCCAATAAAAGGAACCAGAGCTCCTCAGAGAATTGGCTGGTTCTGTGACCAGGGCAAGAAACATGTAAGTCTGAAACAACTTACAGTACCAGAAAATAAGGAAATCCTCAAAATTTAAAAAAAAAAAAAAAAAAAAAAAAATTAAAACCCCCAAATGATGGCAGCTGTCATTGGGACATTGGAGCCAACTAAATAGAGTTCGCAGTGGTCAAAGCCAGAATAAGTTGTGTAATAAACTCATTTTGTGTTAAAGCCCAAATTATAAAATACATATATAAATGGGTAAAAGGAGACAGATCTCCCATGTAGAAGAATTCCAAATAGGTTATGTAGGTACTTCATCTTCAAGGAGGTAGAATAGCACTCTCTACTCCTAAGTGTGGACTGTGCATAATTCCTTCTAAAGAGTACAGTATGGGAAAAAGAGAATTAAAAATGTAACTTCACAGTGGAAAAACCTGGCAAACACTACCTCAGCCAGATATTCAGTTAATTGCTAGAGCCAAGCTCATTGGTTCACGCCTGAAACTCCAGCAGTTTGGGTAACTGAGGTGAGAGGATCGCTTAATCCTGGAAAAGCTGCAGTGAGCTGTGGTTACTACACTGCATGCAGCCTGGATGACAGAGGGAAACCCTGTCCCAGAAGAAAAGCCAGTAGCCAGTGTTTTGTTGACAGCATATACTCTTGATATGATGTATTAAAGATCACACTTTACCCATGTAATCTTTCTCTCAAAAAACCATAACCATAAGAAAAACTCCAGAATGTTCCAGTCAAGGGACATTCTGCAAAATACCTGACCATTACTCAAAACTGTGAAGGTAGGTAAAAACAAAGTCTGTTACAGCCAAGAAGAGGCTTAGGAGACTTGACAACTAAATATAAACTAAATATAATGGGTATCGTGGATGGGAATCTGGAACAGAGAAAAGACATTAGGTTAAAAACTAAGGATAGCTACATAAAGTATGTATTTCATGTATCGATACTGGTTCA